GAGGACGGCAACACTACCTTCTGAATTTTTTGGAGAAGATTGTGCAACACGCCCAGACCGTCAGTTTTATTCACTTAGTCATGCTACTGGCTAAAGAATCGAATCAATGGTCATCAATAACGATAGATCTTCAGTTCCTTAATGAATTGCTTTGAACATTGATTTGCTTAACCTTTCCAGAATATTCGGTTAATTGAGGGTTCCGCTAGGTCACGAGATCTAAAACCCTCTTTATAACATCGCCCGTTATAACAAAACCTGGTAGTGAAGGAAAGGGAGAAAGACATCTGTCGCATAGCAAAGCCCTGAGAAAGAAGAACAAGGGATGTCGGTAAAGTGGACTGCATAAAAGTCGAAAGTGCAACAGTGTTGACCGACGAGAAAAGATGTTCATAACCGATTGGGAAGGCACATCCAAACGCTGTTAAACGAAGAACATCCCAGAGAGGTCGCGAAAGAGATCCCACAAAACCAGGGTCTTGTGGAGATGATCTCACCGGAGGAAGTGGACTAAACCTTGGGTAGAATGAAAAATAATAAGGCCCTTGGCCCGGGCGGAGTTCCCACGCACTGGAGTAAGAAGCTTATGGCTTCTGTGTGCAATATATGTGCGAAAGCCGGCTTGTACCTCAACGCCTGGAAGAGGAAAGTTATGAGGAATCCGTCAGCTCAGCTCTGTGATGTCCAGCAATAGCAGCATGCAATTAGATTTAAATGGAAGGGTCACTAACGCCTCCGCTGTTTTTTGTAGCCTTTCCAATGTTTGGGCAATTCTTCCACAAGATCACGAAATCCCTTTGGAACTTCATACAGATCAGGTCGGCGTTGAAACAGTTACTGTAACAAAAGATCAAGAGCGATGGCTGAACTGCAACAAAGTTGGCTTCGATACGTATGAGAGTCAAATGGCAGAATCACGTGAGGAATGGCTCTGTTCTGGGTACAAGTGATTTCAATAGACGCGAAAGTTAAGAAAAGGTGTTTATCTCTGTCAGGCAAACCGGCTGAGCACAAACAATTTACTGAATTCGCTTTTCTTTGATTCAAGCTTATGCGCC